CCTGAGGTCAGACAGACCTGCGGTCAGATAGACCTGGGCTCAGACAGACCTGGGCTCAGACAGACCTGGGGTCAGATAGCCCTGGGGTCAGATAGCCCTGGGGTCAGATAGACCTGAGGTCAGATAGACCTGGGGTCAGATAGACCTGGGGTCAGACAGACCTGAGGTCAGACAGACCTGGGGTCAGATAGCCCTGAGGTCAGACAGACCTGCGGTCAGATAGACCTGGGCTCAGACAGACCTGGGCTCAGACAGACCTGGGGTCAGATAGCCCTGGGGTCAGATAGCCCTGGGGTCAGATAGACCTGAGGTCAGATAGCCCTGAGGTCAGATAGACCTGCGGTCAGATAGACCTGGGGTCAGACCGACCTGGGCTCAGACAGACCTGGGGTCAGATAGATCTGGGGTCAGACCTGGCTTAGAAAACAGCACCCCCTTTACTAGTTGGGTACCTTTGAGTGAGTCACTTACTACCTCTAAGCTTCAATTTCCTCATTTGCCAAATGGGATAATAACAAAATAATTGATGGAATGTTTGATTGTCGTGAGAGTCTATAAAATTTGCAGAGCTGATTTTTAAAAATTGATTTGTAACCCATCGCAGCTTAGCTCTTGGGCTTCCATTTCTGCTGATTGTGGAAAATACTTCACCCTTCAGTGTAACATAACTTGGTCTTTTCTAATTCAAGACTTACTTTGGGGGTAAAGATTGACTTAAATTCAAGGTTCACCCCTCAACCTTCTGGGAGGCATCTGTGTACAAGGGGATTCTTCATGGTATTGAGATGGAGTGGTGTCCATCTGGTCAGTCCTCACCTCCTTCCACTGGAGTTCACCTCTCTGCTGGTCCACGTGTTGGGTGGGTTCACGTCAGCCACAGCCGCAGCCTGGGCCAGCAGGAGGGAGACAGGCCTCCTTGTTCCATACCTGGGTTGATCTAATATTGGTGGCCTCTGCTACTGTGCCTTGTTCTAGGTGGCGTGCTGCTCTCCTTAGCAGCACTCAGCTGTCTCCCAGCCTTCCAGTGTGCAGACCCTCAGTGAGGTAGCCAGGGCTCCCTGTAGCTGCATCCAGGGGCACAGGACCTCCAGGGCATGCACCTTGGTGTCTCAGTCACACATCTCCCAGGGCAGCACACTGGCACTCATTCCTGGACTGACGTTCACACTTTCTCCACTCAAGGGTCTGGTGTCTTTGTAATGCCTAGTAGATATTCTTCCAAGGGTGGGAGAATACAATCAACTACAATCAACTCCAAGAACAACCTGGAACTCCAGGCAGGATGCAGGGCCTTTGAGATCAGCTCTGAGCCCCAAGCTATTCAAATAGCAGTTGCACAGCAAATAAAAGTCATCATGTATTACCAGTACAAGAAGAATATGATAAACAAAATTAAATAGAAGTCTTGTGATCGAAAGTGGAATAGCTACTGCCAAAAAAGACAGAGAACACTTCTAAACTTGAAACATACACAAATCATGC